GGATTTTAGGAGAAATTTGGGGGTTTTGGGGGCCCTTGGGGGATTTTGGGGGGTCCCAGGTGGGGTTTTGGGGGTCCCAGGTGGATTTTAGGAGAAATTTGTGGGATTTTGGGGTCCCTGAATGGATTTTTGGGGGTCCCAGGTGAAATTTGGGGTGGATTTGGGGGATTTTGGGGTCCCTGAGGGGATTTTGGGGAGTTCCAGGTGGGGTTTTGGGGGTCCCAGGTGGATTTTAGGGTGAATTTAGGGGATTTTGGGGTCCCTGAATGGATTTTTGGGGGTCCCAGGTGAAATTTGGGGTGGATTTGGGGGATTTTGGGGTCCCTGAATGGATTTTGGCAGGTTCCAGGTCGGGTTTGGGGGCTCCGGGGGGATTTCCAGGAGTTTTTTGGGGGATTCTGGAGGTTCCTGGAGGGATTTTGGAGGGAATTCTGGGGGTTCCCAGGAGATTTTGGGGGTTCCCAGAAGGGTTTTTGGGGGGGTTCTGGGGGGTTTGAGAATATTTTCGGGGATCCCAGGATTTTGGGGGGAATTTTGGGGGTTCCCGGGAGTTTTTGGGGGATTTTGGGGGTTCCCCGGGCCCCCCGGACTCACCCGACACCACCATGGCCTCGTTGGGGCCGCAGGTGAAGAACATCGCGGCGGGGGAGCCCCGGGGATCGATCGGGATCGATCGGGATCGATCGGAACCGATCGGAACCGATCGGGATCGATCCCGACCCGCGACCGCCGCCCCAATCCCGGCAGCCCCCGCGCGCGCCACTCCCTCAGCGCGGTGACGTCACACAAAACGCCGCATCCCATTGGCTGTCGTGACAGGGGTCGGGAAGGCAAGGTCTAGTCTACCTGGCAACTCGTGACGTCACGGCGTTCCCGGCGGTCTATTGGCTGCGCCGCGCCGGGGTCGGACTTCCGTGTTTTCCACGGAAAATGAGCGATTTCAGACCGGGATGAACCAGGAGGGGAGTGACGGGGACTGGGGAGCTCCAGAGCGTGGCCGGGTCGTGGTCATCTCATGGTCACCTCATGGTCATCCCAGGGTCAACTCATGGCCACATTCATACCATGGTCATCTCATAGCCATGGTTGTGTCATGCTCAGAATCATCTCATGGTCACGGTCATGTCCTGAGCACCAGCATCTCCTGCTCATGGTCATCTCATGGTCATCTCATGATGAGCTCAGGGTCATCTCATGGTCAGGATCACGTTATGGTCATGGTCATGTCGTGGTCATTTCTTGGTCACAACACCACGCCCACCGTCAGCTTACGGTCATCATCATGTCGTGGTCACAGTCATGGGCATTTCTTGATAACCTCATGGCCATGGCTGTGTCATGGTCATCTCATGGTCACCTCAAGATCCTGACCACCACGTGGCTGTGTCATGGTCATCTCATGGTCACAGTCCTCTCGTGCTCATAGTCATGGTCATGGTCATCTCACCATCATCTCTTGGTCTCAATATCTTATGTTCATGGTCAGCTTGCCGTAGTGGTCATCTCATGGTTGCCTCATGGTCATGGTCATCTCGTGGTCATGGTCAACTCCTTATCACCATCATCTCATCATCGTGGTCACCCCATGGTCACAATCATTTCACAGCCATGGTCATATTGTGGTCACCTCATGGTCATCTCTTAATCCCAATCATCTCATGCTCATGGTTGTGTCATGGTCATTGCATGGTCATGGTCATCTCATGGTCTCAATCACCTCATACCACAGGTGTGTCATGGTCATCTCATGGTCATCTCATGGTCATTTCATGGGCATCTCATGGTGATCTCATGGCCAAAATCACATCGCGGTCATCTTACAGTCGTAGTTGTGTCACAGTCATGGTTATTCCATGGTCGTGGTCATCTCATTGTAATGACCATCTCATGGTCTTGATCACCACATGGCCATGCTGTGCTGTGGTCATCTCTTGGTCATCTCTTGGCCATCTCTAGATCACAATCACCACATGCTCATGGTCATCTCATGGTCATCTTCTGCTCATGCTCATCTCATTGTTACCTCATGGTCATCTCATGGGCAGCTCGTGGCCACAATCACATCATGGTCACCTCACAGCTGAGGTTGTGTCATGGCCATGGTTATCTCTTGGTCAGCTCATAGTCAGAATCATGTCATGATCTCGGTCATTTCATGGTTGTGGTTGTATCATGGTCATGGTCATGGTCATCCCAGGGTCAACTCATGGCCACATTCATACCATGGTCATCTCATAGCCATGGTTGTGTCATGGTCAGAATTATCTCATGGTCACGGCCATGTCCTGAGCACCAGCATCTCCTGCTCATGGTCAAGATCACGTTAAGGTCATGGTCGTGTCGTGGTCATTTCTTGGTCGCAACACCACGCCCATGGTCAGCTCACAGTCATCATCATGTCATGGTCAAGGTCATGGGCATTTCCTGATGACCTCATGGCCATGGCTGTGTCATGGTCATCTCATGGTCACCTCATGATCCTGACCACCATGTGGCTGTGTCATGGTCATCTCATGGTCACACTCCTCTCATGGTTACAGTCATGGTCATCTCATGGTCATCTCTTCATCTCAATATCTCATGCTCATGGTCATCTGACAGTCGTAGCTGTGTCATCATCACAGTCATGGGCATTTCCTGATCACCATCATCTCATGCTCATGGTCAATTCGCCATCATGGTAATTTCATGGTTGCCTCATGGTCATGGTCATCTCGTGGTCATGGTCCTCTCCTTATCACCATCATCTCATCATCGTGGTCACCCCATGGTCACAATCATTTCACAGCCACGGTCATATTGTGGGCACCTCATGGTCATCTCTTAATCCCCATCATCTCATGCTCATGGTCAATTCGCCATCATGGTAATTTCATGGTTGCCTCATGGTCATGGTCATCTCATGGTCTAAATCACCTCATACCACAGGTGTGTCATGGTCATTTCATGGTCACCTCATGGCCACAATCACATCACTGTCATCTTACAGTCGTGGTTGTGTCACAGTCATGGTTATTCCATGGTTGTGGTCTTCTCACTGAAATGACCATCTCATGGTCTTGATCACCACATGGCCATGGTGTGCTGCAGTCATCTCTTGGTCATCTCTTGGTCACAAGCACCACCTGCTCACGGTCATGTCATGGTCATCTCCTGCTCATGGTCATCTCATTGTTACCTCATGGTTATCTCTTGGTCAGCTCATAGTCAGAATCATGTCATGATCTCGGTCATTTCATGGTTGTGGTTGTATTATGGTCACAGTCACGGTCATCTCATGGCCTTGATCACCACATGGCCATGCTTGCGGTGTGGTCATGTCTTGGTCACAGCCATCACATGCTCATGGTCACCCCATGGTCATGGTCGTGTCATGGTCACATTCATGGTCATCTCACTGTAATGGTCATTCTATGATCATGGGTGTGTCATGGTCATGATAATCTCACGATCATCTCATGGTCACCTCATGCTTACAGTCATCTCACTGTAATGGTCATGTCTCAGTCACCTCACGATCATGGTCACACATGGCCATGGTGTGTTCTGATCATCTCATGGTCATCTCTTGGTCACAATCATCTCATGTTCATGGTCACCTCACAGTCATGGTCATCTCATTGTAATGGTCATCCCATGATCATGGTCATTCCATGGCCATGGTTGTGTCATGGTCATTGCATGGTTATGGTCATTTTATGATCATCTCATGATCAACTCATTTGCCACAATCATATCATGGTCATCTCTCAGTGGTGGTTGGGTCATGGTCACGGTTATCTCATGATCTCACGTCCATCGCATGGTCATTTCCTGGTAGTCATTATCTCATCCTCTCAGTCATCTCATTGTCATGGTCATCTCATGGTCACAATCACATCATGGTCATCTCATGGTCAACTCACGGCCAATCATGACATGGTCATTTGATGGTTGTGGTTCTGTCATGGTCACGGTCATCTCATGGTCACAGTCATTTCCTGACCACCGTCCTCTCGCGGTCATCTCTCAGTCACCTCATGGTCACGATCATCTCACAACCATGGTCATGTCATGGCCATGATTCTGTTTTGGTCTTCTCATGCTCACGGTCATCTCAGTGTAATGGTCATGTCCCAGGCACCTCATGATCATGGTCACACATGGCCATGGTGTGTTGTGGTCATCTCATGGTCATCTCTTGGTCACAATCATCTCATGCTCATGGTCACCTCATGGTCATGGTCATCTCATTGTAATGGTCATCCCATGGTTGTGATCATCTCATGGTCAGTCATCTCATGGCCATTTCATGGTCATGGTCATTTCCTGATCACCATCATCTCATGGTCATGGTCATCTCATTGGAATGGTCATGGTTCTGTCAAGTTCATATCATGGTCATGGTCATCATATGGTCATGGTCATCTCAAGGTCATGGTTGTGTCATGGTCACCTCATTGTCATGGTCATCTCATGATCATCTTGTGGTCATCTCATGGTCACTATCCTGTCATGGTCATGTCATCTCACAGTGGTGGTCACCTCATAGTCATGGACATCTCACGGTCATCTAAGAATGGCCTCATGGTCACAATGGTCTCATGGCCATGGTTGTGTTGTGGTCATCTCATGGTCATCTCTTGGTCACAATCATCTCATGCTCATAATTGCCTCGTTATGGTCATCTCATGGTCATTGTATCATGACCATGGTCATCTCTTGCTCATCTCATGGTCTTTATGACCCCATGGCCATGGTTAAGTCATGTTCACCTCATGGTCATCTCATGGTCATCTTATGGCCACAGTCATAGTCATGTCATGGTCATGGTCATTTCCTGAGCACCATCATCTCATGTTCATTGTCATCTCCTGATCACAATCATCTCATGCTCATGCTCCTGGTCCTCTCATGGTCACGATCTCATGCTCATGGCTGTGTCGTGGTCATCTGATGGTCACAGTCCTCTCGTGGTCATGATCATCTCATGGGCATGGTCACAGTCATGATCATCACATGGTCATGGTCACCTCATGATCGTCTCATGGTCAACTCATGGCCACAATCATATCATGGTCATCTCATGGTCATGGTTGTGTCATGGTCACAGTCATGGCCATCACACGGTCATGGTCACCTCACAATTGTCTCATGGCCAACTCATGGCCACAATCATATCATGGTTATGAAAGGACCATAGATGACTCATCTCATGGTCACAGTCATGGTCATCTCATGGTCACAGTCATGGCCATCTCATGGTCACAGTCATGGTCATCTCATGGTCACAGTCATGGCCATCTCATGGTCACAGTCATGGTCATCTCATGGTGATCATCATGGCCATCTCATGGTCACCGTCATGGCCATCTCATGGTGATCATCATGGCCATCTCATGGTCACAGTCATGGCCATCTCATGGTCACCATCATGGCCATCTCATGGTGATCATCATGGCCATCTCATGGTCACCGTCATGGCCATCTCATGGTGATCATCATGGCCATCTCATGGTCACCGTCATGGCCATCTCATGGTCACCATCATGGCCATCTCATGGTCACCGTCATGGCCATCTCATGGTGATCATCATGGCCATCTCATGGTCACCGTCATGGCCATCTCATGGTGATCATCATGGCCATCTCATGGTCACCGTCATGGCCATCTCATGGTGATCATCATGGCCATCTCATGGTCACCGTCATGGCCATCTCATGGTGATCATCATGGCCATCTCATGGTCACCGTCATGGCCATCTCAT